TCCGGGTCTGGATGTTTGTCCTTATGCAATTTATGTTTCTAAACTGCCTCCACGATACAGGAGAAAATCCTAGTGTATAATAATATTTTTTTTTAAAAAGACTTTTACAAACAATTTTCGGCTTGGTAGGGCTCTATAAAGCGAAAAGTTTTTTCATTGGTCATTGTTACTGCCGTTATGTAGACACTATTGCGTGCATATAAAATTTAAATCAGGTGCGTGCATTCACTCTGGGAGCTCGTAGCAAACTGAACGTGCGGCCAACGTGTGGACGCGGCGGCCAATACTCTGCCACAACCCTTTGATCTTTGGTAAAAAACCGACACCAGACGGATCTCGCGCCAACTTGTGGGCCATCGTTCCAATACGTACCAACACCCGCTCTACACGATGGCCATCGTTGTTGGCCATCACATTGGCCAGTGTGTTGGCCAACGTGAAGAGCCGCCGTAAGGAGAATACCCGAACAAGGCGGTTACATGTTCGTACTCGTGCCTATTCTTCTGTGTTTCGCGAGTATCTAAACCTGACTAGTATACAGTTATCTGTGATCTAAACGTTGCATAATGTTTTCTTATATTTACGCGAATACTACCTATGCATCTGAAATGTGTAGTTGTTCATGGGCGGCAGTAGTCACTTACCATCAGGTGAGCCGCACGCTCAATTGCTCCCTCTCATATAAAAAAAAAAACATGAAATTAAACTAATTTTACGGATTTTGTCGCTCTTAATTTTAACTTAGTGCAACAAATTTCCACGGTGTACTGCACTGTTATACAAACAGTGTGTACAAAGTTTTCTCAAAGGACATGTTTGGCGTCCACTCGCTCGCGTATTGCATGCACAAACAGTTTGTGCAAAAGTAAGCGCAATCACAGAACGGGATGGGCAAAACAAAAATACTTTTCTTTTAAATTAAAACTATAACTTATAACATAGCCTCGTAGTTACATTAGGTAGGCCATAAAAATTACTACTCGAATAAAACCGAATAAATTACCAAATCATATCACATATGACGTTCCAAAGTTCCAAGACGTTTTCTACGTGACAAAGTCACGTTGATTTTACACAGTGACTTTTGTGTAATCGGAACAAGGTGATAGTAAAAAATTCCTTATATTGCGCAAGCAAGTTTGTGGTCTCCCCGTCCCCGTCCATACGTGCAAGAATATTTGTACAAACCAGTGCAAACCCATCGCAATCATGTGAAGTTTATGCAAACCGTTTGCGCATTATACAGTTACACCGTCTGAACGTACATGTTTGCTTGTGCAAATTAGAATTTCAGATCAGCTCCTCAAGACGCTGTACTTGGGATAGTGTTCTGTGACTTGATCTCGTGTACGATAACGTAACACTGACAAAAGTTTAAAATATCATTGTCACATTTCACAGTATAAAGTTGTTTACTACTTAAGAAAAAAGTTTGTTAAAACTGTTGTGTATGACTTATTTCTAAATAAGACTTAAATATTAACTACTCAACTCAATATGTAGATATAAATAAAACAGCACTTATATTTGCCTTACAGAAGAGAGGTCTCTGATAAAATACGCAAAGATAAAGTATAATAACAAGAAAAAGCATTCTATCATGCATAGATTTTTTACATCCCTTGGCCCTTTTCTGTATAATCAAGTCAATGCAATTTTGTACATGTATTCAGTGTTTACCATAAAACAATTCTGTCCACTCTGTGATAAGCCATTTCCAAGTCCATTAACACAGAAAATATTATGTTTTTTTTTAAACCAAAAACATCTCTGTGATCATGCGCATAGAAAATACCTGATCAGTATACCCCATTCCCTTTTTAAATCCAGCTTGTACATCCAAAAAATTTCTGTCAGTTTCTTATAATCAATATATAAGAAACTAAATAAAATATAATCTCTTTTAATCAACACCTTAGCATACGGTTTTCCTAACGAAATTAACAGAACGTCATTGTCACGAGTGATTTTACCTAACTTTATTGCTATTCCATGTAAGATATTTTTTCTGTATCTATAAAGTGTTGTCATCTGGTTGGGCTGTAATAAATATATAATTTTAAATGAAAATGATAAACATACATAAATATGAATAAAATTAAATAAATACATAAATAAATAAAAACCCAACCAGATAGAAGCCCTCGGCAGGGGAGACCAAACGACCGAGGGATAGGGGGAAAGGGAAAGAAACCGGCGGACGATGCGGGTGGTATCGAGGAGCACGGCCTTCTGCATTTGAGCTTGGAGTGGTCCGTCACGGAGTCCCAGTCGCCTCAGATGACCCGAGATGCTGACTGAGATTAACCAGTTCGCAGAAACGATTACAGGTATAATTTCGGTCGGTAGTCCACCCCACATGTCGGTCATCTCGTGAGCCAGGCCATATGTTTTGTTCGCTTATCTGTTTCAGCTTTCACGAGGTTCTCGTCATACGGAATGGTAATGTTGACCAAAAATATCCTTGACTGTGCCCGGTCCATCAGCACAATATCAGGCTTATTCGCAAGAATAGTCCTGTATGTGTTTTTTTTATAGGATCGGGTGACAAACGAGCACACAGTCCACCTGATGGTAAGTGGTTACTGTGACCCATAGACATCTACATCTATCCTCAATAAAGACTCAAGATGCAGATGCGTTGTCACCCGTGAGGACTAAGATGGAATGCCTCTTTGCCAATAAAAAGGGTCTCCGGTTCTCTACACTCACCATACGAAACACAGCAGCGTTAAGCTGCTATTTTACGCTGGTTTTCTGTGAGAGCGTGGTCCTTCCCCGGTCGAGCCGACTCATTCGTGCTACAACCATAATATAGCTGCAGTATGGCTCTACCACGTAGAAATATGATGATGGCCCGGTCCCAGTGGAGCCTGGCGCGGTCATTTTCGAGCACGGCTTCCGGCATGTACTTATAATAAGGCAGTTTTCGATCCACGAGACCGTATTTCAGAGCGAGCTCCTGGTGTGGAATCCTGGCTACTAGGTTGTGCCTATGCAAGTACTCAGAGTTAGAAAGCGCCGAACAACCAGAGATGACATGCCTAAGTGACTCACCGGGATGGCAACAAGCTCCACAGATATCGACGGTGCCATCCCTTAGGATGTATCTCCGATAGTTGTTGGTCTTAATAACCAGATCCTGTATTGCACAGACAAAAACCCTCGGTTTCCCCGAAGAGGTCACCAAAACGTAGCCAGTGGAGGGAGGCAACTGTGTCTACGAAAGGCTCATGTAGAGCCTTGTAGAACCTCCCGTGGAGCTCCTTCTCCTTCCATACGGTCTCCCGGTCGAAAATACTCTGTACTGCCGGGTCTTGCCATTGCTCGTTGGCTAAGGATAGAGGGGTAAATCCTTTATCACAAGAAATAACGTCCCTATAGAATGGATCATCCGCTCTAGTCAGAAAGTAATTACGGAGGCTGCACACTTCGCGATTATGTACGGTAAGCGCGCTTAAAAGGCCACGCCCACCATGTTTCCGCGGCAAGTACAACCTCATAATCGACGATCTCGGGCGATGCATCCTATGGGACGTCATAGTAGCGCAGACTTTTCTATCCAGGGCATTAAGATCAGTTTTAGTCCACCTAAGTATGCCAAAGGTATATATGAGAACAGGCATGACCCAACCGTTACATGCGTGTATCTTATTCACACCGGACAAAAGGCTGTTAAGCATTTTGGTTAAGCGTGCATAAAACACATCGCAAACTGACTGCTTTATACCAACCTCATCAATACCAATGTTCTGTGACATACCCAGATCGGTATGTTTCAGCCTCAGAAAGGGTCCTTATGCTGATGGGCATAGATAAGTCTATGCCCTCAGAGTTAGCAACCCTTCCCCTTTCGATATGGAGGACCGCACACTTAACCGTCCCCAGCTCCATTCTAATAGAATTACTATAATCACAGGTGATGTTTATTATATTCATTATAATAATGTATATTTATTATTATTATAATGCTAAGCCAGTCTAAGTAGGTTTTACAATCCTGCTTTGACCCTTTTCCCTTATATTGGGGATATAACGGCTTTGTACCAGCCTCTAGGTACTGGCTTTAGTTCCCAATATAAATTAAGTAATGTGTACAGCAGGTCTGCCACTACTCCCTATCCAGCCCCTTGCATTTGCAGTGATACTCTATCATACCCGGCTGCCTTGCCTGCTCTGCTTTCATGCTTTTTATTGCTCTTATTATTTCATTTACTCGTATCATATATATCTTACTAACTCTTTCTTCTTCTTTCGGATTTCTAGTTCATATTCAGATGTCGTCTCACTCATAATCACGCTTTCAAAGTGTTTCTTCTATCTCCTTAAAACATTGTCATTCAAATTACAGCCATTCTCGTCGAGTACGAGTATAGCATTCATTCTAGGCTGCTCTGAGTTCCTCTGGCAGTTCTTACGAGTTTCCATAACATTTTAATATTTGCCTGGAAGTTATAGATATTCTTCTATTATTCTTATCCGTTCTTTATTGCTTTTTCCTTTCAACTACTTCCTTTATATTCTTATTTAGACGTATAAAACTGACTTTTTCGTTCTATCTTGTCGTCCATACTTTCAGAATTACCAGCTTTGGTTATTTGTATATATAGCCAAACTTTTTTCTATGCTTCAACTTCCATTCGTACTTTATATAACATTGTACCATTTTTTTGTTATTTTTAACTATTTTAATCGTCTACAGAACGTGTCTTACGGGCAATTTTGTGTTGTTTTAATGGCATATTTCGTACTTATTTCGCCCATTCCAATTGCTTTGGGCATCGTTGTACTTACATAAAAATACGTAGTCTTTTTCAATAACAATTTCTACTTTATTTACAGATATAAGTTTCATTTTCTGATGCTTCATTATATGTACACATAAGCCTACTTGTAGATTCCCTTTTCATTGCTTCGTGGAAGTGAAACAATAGGTGTATAGAGGAGTATAATGAAATATCGTAGATCAGTGTTGAGTCAGTTCAATAGAAAATTCAGTGATGCGTCTCCAACATTATACTCATATTTTTCTTGTGTTTATTATTTTTTTTATCAACCAGTCAAATCAATTAATTTTTCTTAGAGAGATAAAAGCGTATGGTTTTCCATATTACAAGATGATAATGAGTTTAGGTGATTGTAAAGGTAATCTATTTGTTGAATGCAGTTACATAAATTGATGAATATATTAATTGAAATAATAATATGTTTTATCTAGATCGGACTCTGTTTTACGAAAGGAAAGTGTGGCCTCGTATTCGAGCGAATAGGATTTTTGACATATACTATAAAAGCGGCAACCGTAAGTATAATTTTAAAATGTGTACACTACAATGCTCTTTATTTTAATCATGGAATAGTATTTATACAAATCCCAAAAACAATTTATATTGCTCAATTCTAGATATTAAATACACCAATAACTAACTATTACTCTCTACCGAGCGGTGGATAGAAATCTATTCACTGAAAGGTTCTGGGGCTTAATCAACACTCAACTCGTAAAAGGACATAATTGCAATTTTATTTAAACATAGTTTGTGTGTGTGTAAGAATATTCGTTCGTGGGTGTCGCTTACTGCTGCTACGGGTGGGATTAATCCGAACAATTCCTCAGAGCACTCCCCGTTGTAGGTGCGAAAGAAAATGCCAAGGGATGCAATATCTTTTCGTAGCGCCAGTGAATCGAGCCGATTGGAAAGGACTCGGTTGTCGACGATTCGAGCCGCTCTGCGCTGGATGCGGTCAAGTGGATGGAGCTGGCACTGGGAAAGAAGCGCTTTGTGCCAAATCCGATCGAAGGCCTTCGCTATGTCCAAGCCAACGGTCAATGCCTCCCCCTTGGACTCTACTACTCTACTACACCACTAAAGATATTTAATCTTGGAGAAAATAAGAATCAATTCAATTTTAAAAAGTAGTTTTTATTTATGCTCTTTAAAATATAATATTTATTATTAGATAATAAACTAAAATAACCTCGTACTCTTTTCTTTTTGCTGGCTCTTTTAATAATTTCTAATTTTCTTTTAATTTTTTCAGCCGATTACATAGTCTCTAGAGTGGAGTTGGGACTAGTGGTCAATGATACGGGCTGTCAGGCTTATTCCGAAAAGGGTGTTGGTTATCAGGAATTTGCAGCTACATTATTTTTACCGACTAACATGGCAACGTTATTTTACACTCTGACTATTTTTACTTGTAGTCCCAAGATCCGAACAAAAGAAGAAGAAAACTTCAAATTGTTAATATTCTATGATAAACCTTTAAATCGAAGCTTTAATGATAGTATTATCGACTAACTGCTTAATGCAACAACATTATTAATATTAAAAATACTTAAAAGTAAATGAGAATTATTATTATACGACCGTTGGATTTTGACTATGCTCATTGCATTCATGCAGCTGATACAAGGAGTTTTTTCATAGGTAGGGTGACAAACGAGTACACAGTCCACCTGATGGTAAATGGTTACTGTGACCCATAGACATCTACATTTATCCTCAATAAAGAATCAAAATGCAGATGCGTCGTCACCCGTGAGTACATGGCTACTGTGACCCATAGACATCTACATTTATCCTCAATAAAGAATCAAAATGCAGATGCGTCGTCACCCGTGAGTACTAAGTAGCTTGCTACATATATATTTATCTATGGTACTAAGATGGAATGCCTCTTTTCCAGTAAAATGGGTCTCCGGTTTTCTACACTCACCATACGAAACACAGTAGTATCAAGCTGCCATTTTACGCTGATATTCTGTGAAAGCGTGTTCCTTCTCCGGTCGTGACGACCCATTCGTACTACAACTATACTACTAATATAGCTGCAGCATGGCTCTACCACGTATAAAACTAATTACTAATTTTGACGTCTGTCGTGATGTGTTGCTATAGTTGCCACGTTCTGTTGGCGGATTAGCAACTGCACTTATTTTTTTTAGTTATTATTAGGAAGATGCTGCTGCCGGTCTCCTATTTGTTTCTCTCTATCGCCTTTTATGCAGGCCACGGAACGATATCGGGTAGTGGATATTTCTTACACCGCCAGTCAAATGTATTTAAGTTTTGTTAATTTAAACACATAGATACACAGTTTATAAAATAATATTAGTTGTGTATATTATATTTTTTGCGCACTGTACCCTGCTACCTAAGAAACGAGATTTTAGTGCTTCATTATAATTTATAAATGTATAGCACATTTGTATATTATAGTGGTTGTGCTCTGGCAACCCTTATACTTCATTGATTACATACGAGCATGTCGACCGGCAGATAGCAAACAATCCATCTATACAGTGTGTTAAATAAGCTACTAGTGGTAAGGGTTACTGTGGCACATTGACACCTACATTTGTCCTCCATTAGGAAAAAAGAACCAAGAATGAAATCTCAATAGAAGTCAGCCCTCGGGATAAAGATGTAATGCCTCATTACCAGTTAAAACAGGTTCTAGTTATTCAACATTCGAAACCTGATAAGTCGTAGTGTGACTCTACAACTTAAAATCGACATGAGGTTATCCTTTTGAATATTTCCTTTGAATGGCAGTAGACATGTGTCATTCATTCATTTCTAGTGACCTGATCATTCAAGTATTGATTCGTCTTACGATCCGGGTCATTCGGGTCTATCATTCAAATGGATCATTTCGAGTTTCAGTACTCTGATCTGTGAGACCAGTTCTGTTAATGTCGGTCGTCGGATATTACTATACTCTTTGGTCGTAGGTCCTGTCAAACGTTAAAAAAATGTAATTGCAGTTATCAATATGCGACCCGGGTCAAATAATTCACGATTGACCCATGTTTTAGCGGGAATATTTCTATACCATACCTTACCTTTACAACCTTTCAAAACTCTACTGCTGAAAATAGACCCCCCTAATTGATTGCCTCGTAGGCGGGTTGGCAACCACAGTTATTTTTTATCTTTTTGTTGCTATTGGGAGAACGCTGCTGCCCTCCTCTTGGTTTATTTCCCTCTGTCGCCTCTTACGACACTCACGGAACGATATGGGGTATTGGATATTCTTGTACCACTACTTCATAGTATATTATGTTGGAAATGACAAATTCTAATCCTATATACTAGTGATAGGGAGCTGAGTTGAGGGTCTCCGGTTCTCTACACTCACAGAATGTGCAGAACTCTGCAGAATGTGAAGACTTTTTTTTTCATAGGATCGGGTGACAAACAAGCACACAGTCCACCTGATGCTAAGTGGTTACTGTGACCCATAGACATCTACATCTATCCTCAATAAAGACTCAAGATGCAGATGCGTTGTCACCCGTGAGGACTAAGATGGAATGCCTCTTTGCCAGTAAAAAGGGTCTCCGGTTCTCTACACTCACCATACGAAACACAGCATCGTTAAGCTGCTATTTTACGCTGGCTTTCTGTGATTTCTGTGGATTTGTATAGATAAGTGGTAAAATAAAAATTATGTACAATCGACTTCAATATGGGGGTCATTGTAGAAGCATGCTCGTCGCGACCCCTACCAGCCCTTTTCAGGCCTGAATTTCTACTCAGCTGCGCACCTATGCCAACGAGGGTTAGGGCGTCCCCCCAAGGCGACGCACACCAGCTCGTCCCCGTTAGTGTAGAATGCAGCGCGCAAAGCGGCGATGGGGACCGTCACCCGTCACGCACAGCCCGACAAGGCGGAAGGTGGAGGACAGAGTGCAGAGTTGGCACGTGGAATGTTAGAGGAGGCATGAGAGATACGACGAATGAGCTGATCGAAATAATGAAAGAAAGAGAATTAGATGTCGTGTGTATGTCGGAGTCCAAACGGAAACGGGCAGTGGTACTGAAGAGCTCCCTGGCGGGACGTTAACTCTATGGTCCGGAGTCCCGGAGATCGAGAGCGCCTGCCAAGGAGTGCGGGTGCTGCTGTCGTCTCGGTTGGTCGATGTTGTGACTGAATATAAGGTTGTGAACTCAAGACTTCTCTGGGTTCGCTTTAAATTTGGACTGACGAAGTTATTCCTTTTGGCTGTTAATGCGCCGGTAGCTTCGTCGTCCAGGGCTGAGCTGGAGAAGTTTTGGGAGAATGTAAGAGAAGTTCTAGATTTGGTTAGGGGAAACGAAAGAATTGTTATATGTGGTGATTTGAATGGAAGTCGGTGCTTGGAAAGTTTGACGATAAAAGGGTTAATGATGCTGGCAAGCTTATACTGGCTGTATGCAAGGAAAAGGGTCTTCTTGTGACAAATACTATGTTTAATCACAAGAAAATCCATATGTATACTAGAAAAAGAAAGAATGAGAGAAGTATGATCGATTTGTTCCTGGTGCATGACCGACTGCGAAAACAGGTGATGGATACGCGAGTGTTCAGGGGTGTTGATCTGGGAACGGATCACTATCTAGTGATTACTAGATTTAGGGGTCTGTTCGCGGGTTGGCGCTACCGGACGGCAGTGACAGAACCACAGTCGGTCTGTCGCATCCGAAGCTGGAAGCAACGGACCTCGATGACACTGAGGTCATCAGTATGAAAGAGATTGAACGTGCGATTCGAAGTTTGAAATGTGGTAAGGCTGCGGGACTAGACAGAGTTACTGCTGAAATGGTCAAGTATGGTGGGCCTCGCGTCTGGGACAGCTTTCATCTGCTGTGCAATTTGTGCTGGCGGACGGGGGATGTCCCGGATGATTGGCGATCCGCAGTCATTGTGCCTTTATATAAAGGTAAAGGTTCACATTTTGACTGCGGGTGCTATCGGGCGATCAGCTTGACCAGTTTAGCAAGTAAAGTTTACTCGAAGATTTTGACACGTAGGATGCAAGAGAAATCGGAAAGATTTCTATGGGAGGCACTATGCGGATTTAGACCTGGAAGAGGATGCACGGATCAAATGTTTTCTCTCCGCATGATCACGGAAAAGCTTCTGGCTGCTAACCAGAGGATTTTCTGTGCTTTTGTGGATCTTGAGAAAGCATTTGATAAGGTTGTAAGTAAGAAAATGTGGGAACTGTTGCCGGGGTATGGTGTGGATGGCCGATTGCTAAGGGCTATGCAGTCTCTTTACTGTGACTGTAAAGCCTGTGTGCGGGTAGGGCATGACCTGTCACCTATGTTTAGCGTCCAAACGGGCGTAAAACAGGGTTGTGTCATGTCTTCCTGGCTGTTCATACTGTATATCTCGACAGCTGTTTACAAAAGCTGAAAGATAGCTGTTTGGGTGTGAAATTGGGTGACATAAAAGTAAATTGTCTGCTGTATGCTGATGATGCAGTGCTTATTGCACCATCAGAGGCAGAACTGCAGGCATTAGTCACGTGTATGAAAGAGGAATGTGAAATTAAAGGTCTCCGTTTGAACGCTAATAAAACTAAGGTTCTGGTATTTGAAAGGGACGAAGAGAGAACGAAGTGTGAAATATGGGTAAATCAGGAATGTCAAGTAAATGAAATTGTGTACTTGGGGAGTGCTTTTAGCCGGGATGGAAGATGTGATTTAGATGTGGACAGGCGTGTCGCTGCCGGGAACAAAGTCAATGGTGCCCTGACTGCGTTAGTCAAAAGACAAGACGTAGTGAAGAGTGCACGCCTTGCAATACATAACGCAGTGTTGGTACCGACTTTGTTATATGGCAGCGGAACCTGGGTATGCCAGAAGAAGCATAAAAGTAAGTTGAATGCAGTGGAGATGCGATCTCTTCGTAAAATGTGCGGCGTTACCATGGCCGACCGAAAGTGAAACGAAGAGATTCGCAATATGGCAGGTTTGAAAGATGACCTTATCACAAATATTGATAAGGGCGTGCTTAGATGGTTTGGGCACGTTGAGCGAATGAGTGAAGACCGAATGGTGAAGAAAATATATAGCGCGAAAGTAAATATTAAAAGGTGTCGAGGTAGACCGAGACTAACTTTCGAAGACCATGTGAGCAAATTGCTCGAAGAGGGGAGGGTCAAGAGTACTCGGATACCTAGACGTGCATGAATGAAGAAGATAATGAATCTGAAATAAGCGAAAGAGGTATGTAAGGATCGTGACACTTGGCGATCTGTTCTCTCTGGCTACCCCGTCAGGAATTGTGCGCGAAGATAAGTAAGTAAGTAAGTAAGACTTTAATATAACAACTTGGACAGAAATTAGGGTGTACCGTGGTATACTGAACACATCTACGTACCCCTTTAGAGGGTATAGGCGTTATGTTATTTTGTGTGATTGCGTAAACAATACACAGATATGCGATGCAGCAACCGCAGTTGATTTGCTGGCATTTATTAAAGAGTTCCGTTGTCTGCCTCCGTAACTTATCATCAGATCTTTAC